TTGGATTCCTGAGTGGGGAAGTTCCCCTGGTGAAGGGATAGGTACCCACTCTGATATTCTTGGGCTTCCTGGGTAGATGATAAAGAATCCACCTGCAATGTGGGAGACCTGGGTTTGATCCTTCGGTTGGGAAGATCCCCTGGGGGACAGCATGGCAACCCACTCCAGTATTCTTGCCTGAAGAATCCCCATGGGCAGAGCCAGACGGGCTACGGTCCCTGGGGTGGCAGAGTCGGACACGACCGAGCAACTAAGTACAGCACAGTGAAGACAGACAGGATGACAGGGAATGACTGGGACTAAGCACTGGACTTCTTGTGGGGGAAGCTGAAATGTTTTAAAATTAGGTTGTGGTAACAGACGGGCAACTTTGGGGATACTAAACACACTGAACTGTGTACACTCCAAACGGGTGAATTTTATGATCCTGGAAATATAGTTGACCCTTGAACAACGTGGAGGGTTGGGGGTGCTGGCCCCCTCCTCCACCACCTGTAAAATAAAAATACATGTACTATGTTTATTTTAAAAATCCACATATAAGTGGACTTCTTCAGTTCAAACCCATGTTGCTCAAGGGTCAACTGTATATCTCAATAAAGCTATAGAAAAGAGGAAAAAAGAAAAACCACCTGATATATGAATTCCCTCTAAATGAAGGCAAATCTAACATATAGAGTTCAGGCAAGAATAACTAGCTTTTAAAAGATAACAAGAAAATCAAAATAATTTAAGAGTTAAGACAGTAGTAAGCTCAATGTTATGATTAGAAAGAGGAATATAGGCTGGCAATGTTTTATTTCTTGACCTTGATGATAGTTCCATGGGAATTCATTTTAAAATCATACATTAAGCTGGACACTTATATTTCATACATTTTTATGTGTTATATTTTACAATTTTAAAAGTTTTAAAAAGCAAAGTTATAAAAAGTACTAGAAAAATATCATCAAGAAATCAAGAGGGAAAAGTTACGGATCTAACTACATAAAATTTTTAAACAGGAAAAGTGATAACCTTCAACAATGGCTAGGGTACAGAGAAATAGGTACTATCATGATATGAGTAATAACACCTATTAAAAGTATTAAACACGCATGCTCTTTGACAAGATTATTCACCCACATCTAAGGAAATAAACCAAAGATGTGAATAAAGACCAGACTACAAGTATGCTTTTAGTTATAATAATGCATTAATTATGGTTAAAAAAATTTTAAAACAGTGTATTCCTAACTATAGTTCCACATATCCACTGATAAGTATTTACAACAATATTTACTGATATCTAAGGATTCCAGAATGTACCAAGTTAAAAGACACATTTTAAAGTAGTATATTCAATAGTATTTTATCCTTTAGAAACCTACAAAATAGATAATGTGGAAGTTATATACCAAAATGTTAGTAGTAGTTTTCTTCCTGGGAGGGGAAGTAAGATTATGGCTGCTTTTAACTGGTAACTTCTAATGTTTCCATAAAAAAGAAAGCTACATTTGAGAAGAAATAAAAAGCTGATAGTATGTACTCTTAAAATGATGTGATAAAAATGGAACCTCATCTCTGCGGTCTTCCTCCACAAAACCCATGAGAAAAACTTCAAATTCCAGGAGGGTCTTCCTTCCTAAAAACACTTGACCAGCATTTCTCAAACTGTCAAGGTCCTCAAAAATGAGGAAAGTCAGGAGGAACCTAGGGGAAAACGACTCCTAAATATAAGGGGGTATCCTAGATGTGATCTTGAAACAAAAAAGAACACCAGATAAAAACAAAGGACATCTAAATAAACTATGGATATTCGTTAATAATAATTCATCAGTATTAGTTCAAGAGTTGTACCATGCTGTTGTAAAATGTTAATAGGGAAAAATGGATGCAGAACACGGGGTAATTCTTTGTACTATGTTAATTTATAAACCTAAAACTGTTCTAAAAAATTAAAGTCTGTTTCTAAGAAAAAGGAAAAAGAATAGTATCCAGATTAACATAATTTCTCTAATTTTTCAGTTTCAGATGATTCCAAATGAAACATTAAATATATACACAAATATATATGCATATTGTGTATATACATACATATACATATACAGAAAGAGAGAGAGAGAGGATGAACAAAATATTAGGGGTTTTTTAATGTTACAAAAGGAGCTCTTGGCAATGTACTACATATTTATCAATATACACAACTTTTTAAATATGTATTATACATAGTGTAATTATGTGTGTGTGTGTGTAGACCTCACCAACCTAAACCAACCATTTCTATATAAATATGAGATAAATATAATTTATGTAAGAAATATAAAACATATTGCAATGCATCTTCCAGTGATATACGACATGGTGAACTAACTTTCAAGCCGTTAACAAATTATGCTTCTTTTCTTACTGAACACTGACCACTGAAATAGCACACCATGTACTCCTAGAGGGAGCCAAGTCAGAGAGCAGAGAAAGTGCTAGCTAAAATAATTTTCTCTTCTTTCCCAAAAGGGAAAAGCCAGCAGTGGTGACCAGCTCTGTTATTAGGCTCACTAGTGAGCCCTGGGGAGGGCGGTTCCCCTCAATCCAAATAAACTGTCCCTGATGAAGCCTGCTGAGAAGACCGAAGGAGAAAGGCTTTCCACTTGTTAAATGTTTATTATTTGAGCTTCACAGCCAACTACAATAAGGAAGAGGGGAAGCTGTCTGCAGGCTGCATGCATATTTAGCTACTCCAATTCCATGAATGTGAAATACAGCACTGGGCTAAACCCTTTAACATTTACTAAGCAGTAGCTTGAGGGAGATGGTAGTCGGGAATAAAAGCTTGGAGCCGCTAGTATTTGGGTCAGTGATTTGAAAGGAGCTGAAGTCAACAAAAAACTAAAATTCTTGACATTGGCAAAGTGTTGCTTCCTTTTGTTCTAAGAAACATGATTCAGCAGAGAAAAGGTACAAATCTAATCTCTCTTGTACCTCTTCCCACTTTGAACTAAGAATACTTTTACTTTTTCCTCAAAATGACTGAACAACAACAAAGTTAAATTCTTATCCATTAAAGCACTGGTGGGAGGGGTAGTAAGTAACAAAGTGCGTGTTCAGTCGTGTCCGCCTCTTTGCAACCCGATGGACTGCAGCCCACTGGCTACTCTGTCCTTGGGATTTTTCCAGGCAAGAATACTGGAATGAGTTGCCATTTCCTCCTGCAGGGGATCTTCCCAACCCAGGGATCAAACCTGCAACTGTAGTATATCCTCATTGGTAGGCATATTCTTTACCTACTGAGCCATGGAGCCAATGGTAGGAGGGATGACTGCAAGATAATGTCTTCACTTATCCTGCACTTCACTGAACATCTTCCTGAGCCCCACTGACGCACCACCTGTTTTAGTTATCCCTCACTTTTCTGGTTTAACACTGGCATTCCTTTTGGTATGATAGCCATGTGATGTCTCAAGTTTATTATCCACAGGTGAAGGAAGAAACAGACAGAACAGGCTCCATCTTGAAAGCAGGACTCCATCTATGCCCATGGAAAGGACATACCAACTGGAAACCAGGCCCCCCCGGATGCAAGAGCCCCAGGGTTCGTACCTAGACCCTCAGTCACCTAAAAGACCCCTAACTGTCTGTGTAACCGAACAGCATTATGAATTCTATTATGCTTATTGGGGTATGACCACAGGCCTATTGATAATTGTCCACTGTTAACTACCTAGGCCTAAGGCATATGAATCACGGGTTATCTTTGATTGTATCTTTCTTTTCCTTTGTTCAGACTAGTTTCAGGGAATTTGGGGAGGTGGGTTTGGGCACGTACACTTAGGGTATATAAGGGTTTCACAAAAACTGGTCAGGGTCCTTGGCTAAGAGGAGACTCTGCCTTGGGCCCGCCAGTGTAATAAACTGCACTCCTCTATCTGCATTGTCCTTCTCAGTGAGCTTGTTTCCCAGAACACCTGGCTACAACACAGGGACGTGCTTTAAACTACTGTAGGATCTGGGTGATGATTACTAATTAAGTAGAAAGGGCAAAGTAAATATATTTTAGTAAATGTCAAGATGGAATAACTCTACATCAAAAGATAAACCTACATATATATACACACACACATACATACATGTATTATTTACCCAATTCCCAGACTAATTATGGCATAAAGTAAAGTAATAAGTTGCAGAGATATCTTTTTTGGCAGAAACTAAATCTTTAATCCTCTTTTTAAAACAACATAGAAGAATGAAGTTTAGGGCAAACAGGTTTGACTGTCTCACAAATACGAACCAACAGATATACACGACAGTCAAGTTTTGGGTTGAAGTACTAGTTCTGTGGCTAAGCGTCTGTCTTCTTGGGCTAAGGAGTTCGCTCTTTTGAGCTCTGGTTTTCCCAACCCTAAAATAATATGTCTCCCATGCTTTCCCCAAGATTTAAATGAGGATCAAAGACTTTTTATAAAATGTGTCCAATCAAAAGCTGATTAAGGGGAGGGAGATTCAAGAGGGAGGGGATATATGTATACATATAATTGATTCACTTTGTTGTAGAGCAGAAACACAACATTGTAAAGAATTACACTCCAAGAAAAAAGATTAATATAAAATCTTATCAATGGTATATTTTAGTCAAGTCTCTCTTAAATAATAATAGTAACAGCTACCACCGATTAAATGCCTAGTATGTGCTAGAATTTATTACATGAGGCCCTTTATATTCTATCTATTTTAAGCCCCCAAGGGATATGCTATACTCTTGCCTGATAAGAAAATAGGCTCAGAAAAGTCAAGAAACTTGCCCAAGGTCAGAAAGTTAGTAATAAACAGCAAAGCTATGATTCAAAACAATTCTGGATCTAAAGGCCAGGCTTTTTCCACTAGCCCCTGAGAATTAATCCAGCATTAACAGGAAATGAGCCATTCACAGCAGTCAATTTTCCAGATGACTACATTTTAACTTTAAATTTTTATGTAAATCTGTTTAAAGCACATTCATCCTCTTTTGCTTATAATTAACTAACCAAAGCTGAAGGCTTCCTTTGATAACTCAGGATCACAATTGTGGACTCTCCGATGTGGGTCAGAACAGGCCTAGATGTATAAAAGCTGCTTACCCCGCGGCGTGGCCGCTCCGGCACTGTGGCTTCCTGTCGCTCTCTCCTTGCTGAGACTGAGCTGGCCGGCTGAAGTCCTGGCAGCGCCTCTCCCAGCTCCCTGACCCATTTACTCTGCGGTCACTTAGGAAATCAGGTAACTCACGGATAGAGGAGCCTGGCGGGCTATAGTCCATGGGGTCGCAAAGAGTCAGACACGACTGAAGCTACTTACCATGCACCCACATGCACACATGGGGTACCAACAAATCTAAATCAACATGGCCCTGGGGTATAAGCCCCAAGATGGCTTCTAACAAATATATCACATAATCCAGGTCTGCTATTTGCTTCTTGGCGGCTGTCTGGATTGTAGTTGTGCTCTGTTGAGATGACAGTCTCTAAAGACTGACTTCCAGATAAGTGGAACCTAACTCAACTAACGTAACACTGTGTTCCACAGCATCACCTGACTGAGATCTTAATTTACTGCATCTCATTTGGTTGTTTTGAAAATGGAATCACAGCACTAAAATAAGTAAGTTCTAAAACTTACTGTGGAACAAACTTTTCAGAGGATTCATATGTTTGTATTTAGTTGCATGATACTTGAAACACACCAGGTAGTAAACACTTTCACTAAACACCAATGATGGCAAACTCAGTCTTAAAGTATAAATTGGATGGTGGTGGCTTCATACAAGAATGCATTCAAGAAAAAAAAAAAAAGAATGCATTCAAGAAAGGCTTTCCTTAGCCTGAATGCAATCTCTTCCAAATAAGCCTATCTTTCATCTTTATCCCAGACCAGAAGAAGAAACGGCTAAATACCCGCTTTGTTTGTTAAGCACTGCATTTAGCACACAGCACTTAGTGGCTTACAAGTATGTCTCCCTCTCTTCATCAGACAAAATATAAACTCCCTGTGGGGAGAGCGTCTCTTTCATCTTCCTACTCCACTCCGAGAGCCTTAAATAGTCCCTTCCAAATAGCAAATGCTTCAAACTATACATCCTTCCCTGCGTTTATCTTTTAAGTGTTTCATGATATCTAAACGTGCTCCCTCTTCTACCATGACCACTCCCTTCCCCGCTAGGCCCAGCAGGGACAATGACACACACCCTTGGCAGCATTAAAATATCTGTATTAAGCATAAAAGACAGAATCCCTATTTTAAAAGTAAGGTCACAGGGACTTCCCTGGTGGTCCAGTGGTTAAGAATCCACCTGCTAATGCAGGGGACATGGGTTCGATCCCTGATCAGGGAGGATTCTACATGCTACAGGGCAACTGACTCTGGGCACCACAACTACTAAAGCCCATGTGCCCTACAGCGCCATGCTCCACAAGAAGAGAAGCCATCACAATGAGAAGCCCATGCACCGCAACTAGAGAGTAGCCCCCGAATGCCACAACTAGAGAAAGGCTTTGCACAGCAACGAAGACCCAGAGTAGCCATAAATAAATAAATAAGGTCACAGTAAGGTTCCTAAGGAAAATCAACGCTCATTCTCTCATATACCATTGATAAATGGCTGCTTTCAACACACAGTTTTAACATAATAAAAATAATATGCTCTTGCCTTAATAAAACAGATACATAATTTAAGTAGTAGAATTTAACTTGTATATTTTAAGTAAATTATTTTTACCTTATTGGAACTGACGTGCCTATTGGTATTAAGACAGTACAATAGCAACACTTGAGGTTTCTGTTCATTTTGATTTCTGACATTGGCAGTTCATTAGAAGTTACTAAAATAAACTGATTTGGACTAAGGAACCCCTAGGCAGTTCATCATTTCATGCCTGGTGCCGCTTGCTTATTATGCACCATCAATATTATTAATGTGAATTCTTCTATAGTAAAGTATTTTCTCCATACCTCTTAACTTTGGATTTTTTCCAGTTGACTTTCTTAATACCCAAATCAACATACGATTCAGTTAGTTCTATATTTAATTCTCCTTCTGAGTCACTTGGAAGTATTCCTAGTTTTGCAGCAGATTCATACAGAGAAATTTCATCTTTTAGTTCTTTTAATTCTTCCTAAAACACAAAATTATTGAAAGTCATTTTCATTTTTTTATAAGAAGGAATCAGTCATTCTTTCTATTCTTCAAAGTTTATTTTAATGATCAACAGAAGGCAGAAATGCTACTTCAAATACATTTTTTGGCATGCATTAAAAATGTAAAGGCCAGCACATATCAAGGTTTTCAAGTAAACTGAATGAACAAATAAAGTGAATAAGAAAGCAGATGTAAACATCTCTCTCACACCTCCCTCACTGACATTCCATCCTCCACAAACAGCCTCCCTTGAGCTGAGAAGCTGGTGGTAGTGCATGTTGCCTAAGAGCAGGGGACAGAGGAGACTGGTTTAGTCTGCCAGTGGTGAAAAGGCACAAAATACTATACATCTTTCCAGGGGAGGGAATACTGAGCACTTCCTCCAGTGGAAAACATAACTGGTACTGGAGGAGGGTGTGAGAGGACTGCAGTTGAACTGTAGGTTTCCCACACCTGTAGACAAACCTATCTCTGGGACACTTCCCAAGATGAAAGGACGTGCCAAGTGAAGGAAGGGATGGTCCCTTGCTCCACAGGTGGGTAGACCAGGGCTTGGCTACCCAGCTGTGTGGTAAGGTTGTGAGTGACTCCTGTGGGCTGGACTGGAGATGGTCCAACCACCATACACAGAAATCCAAGGTTCAAAAAGGTGACGTAACCATCGCCTAATTCAGTTACCCAGAAAGTCTCTTCCTGGAGGCAACACTCACTTGCAAAGCCTTGCTCATGTTTTCACTCATAGCGTGTGCCTTTTGTGCTTGCTGCAGCTGGAGCTGGAGTTGAGCCACCTCCTGTACTGAGCCTGTGGGAGAAAGAACCACAGAATACGTCAGATGTAATGGAACAAGCTGCCTATGACATACAGAAGAACTTGCATCCACTGAGGCTATAGCCGGTGGGACCCAGAAAGCATATGTGTGGTGCTGACATTTTCAAGATTTAGTACGGCTGCCCAAAGGTCCTCGGGGAGTTGAAGATGGGCTACTGTGACCCTGCCATGAATTAAACCAGCCATGTCTACAGAGCTTAACACTCCACAAGTCCTTTAATAGGAGCAGAACATTCTAGCTCACAGATTACCAAAGTAAAAATTCTTTAGAACCCATTCCATTTCTACTTTCCAATAAGAAAACCACATCTTGCTGCCTTTAGCTTCTTTCTGAGTGCTTTTATTTCCACCACTCCCACCTCCACACATATTAGAAGCAAACTAGGATTGTACCGTTGAAACTCCAGTAACCTAATATTTTAAATGGTTAAAAGGTTCTCATCTAAAAAGGACTTTATTGGGTTTCCTCAGAAGAAAATGAGCATCTAAGAAATGGCTAAGCAAAGTAATGATGGAGTATTAGGCAACTAAAGAAAATCCTATTTTCAAAGCCTTTAATGGCAACCAAAAAGGCTCAGTAAGTAATACCATGTGGAACAAAGGACACAAAACTGAAATGACCTAAATGGAGTATAATGCGAATTTTGTCCCCACCAAAACACACACACACACACACACACATTTAGACAGACTTCAACTTCTGAATAACCCATTCTTCAAATATTGTACCAGTCGTCTGAATTATTCAATCTTTGCACATTCAGCTTTGATTTGTTTTAAAATGCACTAGGTACAGAAGCAGGGAACTGTCTATACACGTTCACTTGTGAACAACATTAACCATTGTCTCTGCATAGTAGGATTATTGGCTATTTTTATTTTCTACTTTATACTTGTCTGGATTTCCCCAATTACCTAATGAAAATACACCACATCTTCATAGACATACACCAGTAACAATGTTAAGAAAAAATTCTGTCCCGGATGAACTTTTCTGTTTTTTTCTGGATTTTTATAGTAATTCACGGATCCTACTATGCTCGCTCCACAGTTTCTCCTAGCCTTCTGGGGAGCCAGCACCCACACACACACCCACCTGAGTGCAGCAGGTTGGCACACTGCTTCTGACTCTCCTCCAGGCTTCTCGTCAATCTGTTAATGATCTCAGTCTTTTCTAATCTCGTTGCTTCTTGATTCCTTTCCAGTTGCTTAACCTGATCTTTCAAATGACAGCAGATATCTTCCTAAACAGAAAAAGCATCCAAGAAGTCCTTTTCATAATCAAGTTACTGTATATTAAACTAACAATTATGACCTTACCTCTTTGGATTTTGAGTCAAATATAAAATCACTACCTGACAGGATCACCTCTTTTACAAGGTCAAGTGCACAAGTTTGAGTCAGGAGAACAAACTGGTCAGTCACCGACTGCTCAGTCTGTTTTTCCTTTCGGTTGAATTTGAATCTGATGGCTTCTAAAGTCTCTCTCTGCTCTGTATACCTAAGACACTGTTATTATAAAATTGGATTTTATTCAAGCCAAAGGAAATGTATTACATCCCTATTTGCATTTTACACTCTCAGTATAATTGTGTGTACACACTAGGCAAACCACCTTGAACCATGGAATCTGTGTCCCAAGTCAGCAAGGATACAGACAAAACACATGGAAACTCACTCTATTCTGAATAGCCAAAAAGTAGCCCTCCCTCTTCTGAACTGGTTTTAAACTTGATCTGTTTCTCTCATGTTTTTCCATCTTGTATATGTCTTTTTTCTCTTAACAGTCTCTTTGAAGGTGCCTATATAGTGCCTTATACATAGTGAATGCTACAAAAGATATTTGAAAAATGACAAAGAAAAACAGGATAAATGTGTGCATGTATGTAATTACATGGGGCTATATAGAGAATCTAGAGCAGGTATATAATATATTCAAATGTCTACAAAAAGAAACTGTGTTTGGAAGTAATGAGCCATGGGAATCCCAAAGCCAGGTAGAAGAAATCATCATCTCTCTCATTCAAGAAGGGTGACACAGGCTGAATTCCAGGCAAATAGAGGATGTGAGAGGCACATAAGCAAATCAAGGTAATTGGCTGAAGTTACCTGAAAAAACCTGAAGAAAATAAATAGTAAGAGGCATATCAAGAAAGGACTTTGAGACAGAGAGAAGGCATTTGGGGCCTGATTTTACCATAATCTAAAGCCTAATAATGTCTTACTGTTACAAATAGAAAATATATCACCTCATAGGGATACTAACACTCTCCTTAAGCAGAGCAAAGAGACTCTGAAGTTCCCTGTTAGCTTAAAAATTCATGAGCATTTTGTATTCTATTTCATAATGTGTCACGTTTGCTTTAACGTTTTTCTACCAAATTTTTGAGCAAAATGAAGCTTCTGGAACCTGGTCCATGTTTATTCAACAGTGCAAACCTCTTGGCACACTGCTGCTGATTCCCAGGCCAGTTTGGTTCTAAAGCACCAAAGTAACATGGCAAACACAACGGATGAGCTAATATTCATGACAATGTGAATGTGTGAGCAAGAAGAGGTGGGGAAACAACTCACATTTATGTGCTGGGGAGGTCACGATAGCTTTTACCAGACACTGAGAACTGGCGCAAAAGAGTTCAAGAAAAGGTAATTATGAAAACTATTATAATAAAGAGGCAGACCATGGAGATAATTAGACTATATGCAACAATCTAATTAAGTCCCCCAGGTGGCCTGGTGGTTAGGATTCTGGGCTTTCACTGCCAAGACTCTGGTTCAATCCCTGGTCAGGGACCTAAGATCCCCAAATGCCACATGGCAGAATGCAGGGGGCAGAGGTGGGGGCCTTAGGCAACAATCAATTAAGCCATGCTGTTTCCTGTTGACAAGTTCAGGAAAACATATCATACTCATAAAACTATGCAGTTTAAACACCAAGAAACAAAAATAAATGGTTCTATCTTTTCTGCAATTAGCTTGAGTGAGAACACTCAGTTCAAGATTGATAGAGGCAGATGTCTTTGAAGACTGAATGAGACAACTGCAGTGATAAAGAGATAATAGCTGAACCCACAAGATGAAATAGAATTGAACAGATTTGTAGTGCACAAAGGAAAAAAAAAATTAAGCCACATGCACACAGGTCTGCTGGAGTCTCTCAGTCAATAGGAAGTGCTTAAATACACATAAAAGATTAGAAGATAGATCAGCTGAAGGTCATAACATAGAAACCAAAGTCCATGACTTCAACAGAAGCTGAAGATTTCAAGAAGACCAGAATGAAGAAAGATTTAAACCACCAAGGAGCTAATCAGAGATGTCAACCGGTATCAGGAAGAAGTAGAAGTCAGTTCAGACACCTGAACAGAGATCTCAGGATATGACACTTCTGTGAATGGAAGAGAAAGGAGACACCTGGGAGGGAAGCACCTCAGAGATAGCATGCTATAAGCGTCCTGTCAGGGAAGGAACATTATGAGCTGCAAGAGCTCATTTCTTCTCTGTCTCACACACACACACACACACACACACACACACACACAAAACCCAAGGGTAACTCAGCGAAAATAACAAGAACTGCTACACAGTGAGTGTGTGTACAATCCCTTCTACCAGAAAAGCTGATGACTTAAGGAAAATATTAAAAAAGTAATACAATTTTACATGCCATGTATTTCGCAAAATACATGAGTTACACAAAAATTAAAACACATGTAAACACGATTATATGATGGATTGCTACTCCTCCCATCACGTGGAATTAGGTAGCTTCTGCATTGGGTTTTGTCTTTCAAAATAGATTTAAATCTATGTAAACTTTGTTTACATCCTGATGTTTAGCTGTTTTCAGTAAAACTTTGCTGAACAAATGAAGTAGTATGATTATTTTACAAGTATAGTCCTTCCCCTCCAAGAGCAAGTTTTTCACAAAGCAGTGATTTTCAAATTTTTGCAAGGCGGAGGTCTGAACCTCTTGAAAAATCTGAATAAGCTCATGGGTCTTCTCAAAGAAAACTGCATATACTGACACCCAAGAGAAAATCACACCCACAGTTTCAGAGATTCAAGAGCTCCCTGGAGCCTAGTCATGGACTGCTTTAGAAGATGTCAGGTTAACAATCTCTGTCACCCACAAATCATACAAGGTGTGATCATCTACTCAGGTAACACTGGCATGTACTCAGGTACACAGCTGTGTGACTACGTGCAAGCCACTAAGAACCCAGACATTAGCAAACTTGTTCATCTGCTACATCACCTAGTTAATTCCATGCTACTCTTTCTCAAGAGTTGTTTTATTCTTCTTTGTAACCTGCAGAGTAGAGTGGAGCAGGAAAAGGCTTATCAGAAAGGGAAAGATTTTGCTCCTCTTCAATAACTTTTATATTAAAAAAAAAAAAAGAGAGAGAGGACAAGGGGCAGTATGTATGTATGGTACCAGTTATGTTAAGAAAATATAAATCACCTGTCTCTATAGAACACAAGCATGCATTTTCCTGATTACAGGCAGCCAACTCCCTGGCTCTTGGCTGATCTTTACAGCACCTTTTCCAATTAGGACTCTCAGCTTGGATTCTGAGATAATACGAACGGACCTTTTATTAAAAATACTGCTGAGCCAAATGATAGCAAATGGACAGCATGAAAGGGATACCCAAAAAAAAGCATTCCCAGAAAGAAAAAAACACCAGGCACTTTGGAATCACCACTTTGCAAAGTAGTTATGGAACAATACACAGAAGCTAACATCAGTGCTATGCTCTGCTCCGTTTTAAATAAAAGAGAAAAATCACTGACAGAATGTAACAGCAGACAAGACCTCAACCAACACTTTCACTGTATGGTTCAGGCATCCGAGCCCAGTCAGCACAGAAGGAAGACTCTGTTCTGTGTTCTAGTCCAGGGTTCTTTGGCTGAGGGGTCGGAAGAGGTGAGAAAAGTGAATGGAACAAGTACAGGGCTTGAAACGCACCAGGAACTGCTCCCAGAATGCCCGTGAGTGAGTGTGCCTCAGGCAGGAGAGAAGGGAGAGATCCCCAACCCGGCGTGGAGAAGCCACCGACACCGCTCCCCTCGTCATTGGAGGCGGCACCACTCTCCACAGCGGCTTTCACGCTGCTACCCAAACAGAGCCACGCTTAATAAAACCGAATCTCAAGTTCTATCTGTTTTAATATTACAGAAAGTAGACTTTAATCATTTTCCTTTTTTTTAAACCCACTACCTGGGTTACAACATTTTATTCCCTTTGGGGCAAAGCTAAAATAAAAACTGTGAAACATGCTCAAGTTTCATATCTAAATGATTTCAGATCAGAATCTCTTCCCTATTTATTACACTAGTCTTAAAATCAACTCTTCTCCCAACAATCATTTCTAGACAATATTTACTGACAAGTTAATAACCAAACACTGGGAGACCCAAGAAAGGTCTTCTCCTGGTTAATCTCCCAGGACAACCACTCAATTCCAGGCCAGCTCCTAGAACACTCCTTCTTTTCAGTTTGGAATCTTCTAAGACATATAAACAATATGCATAAATATTTGACAAATGAAGTAGTAATATGAGAAGTGAGAAAGCACTAACCAGTCCTACCAGAGGAAGGATTTCCAAAAGTGTGCCCTCGGGGCATACCCACAGATAAAACTCTTCAGACTTTTAAATTTTACTCATACTCAAATACCTACTGCAAACACCCAGCATTTCTATATGATGAACCGCAAGATGTCAGTCATGACTTGACTTGTTTATAATAGTTGCTATCTGAAATCATTCCAACCTGTTCCCTCAGTGCAGTAAGGGTAGCATCCAACTTCCTTTGTAAGGACAGCACTTGCTCCTCATACTTCTTTGTGAGGCCCATCACGATGCTCTCATGCTGCTCCCTCGTGCGCTGAAGCGATTCCGAATGATGCAAGTCCAACAGCTGCTGCTTCAGGCTGTCCAGGGCCATCTCAGTAGTTCTGGACTTTTTAATCATCTAGAAAATACACACAGGATACACATTTACAGTATTCTGACTCTGTGCTATCTTCATGAATTTTAATTCTAAAACTCAACCACGCTTAACTAAATGAAAGTAGGGGCTTCTCAGTAGTAAAGAACCCACTGCCAGTGAAGGAGACACAAGAGACGTGGGGTTCAACCCCTGGGTGGGGAAGATCCCCTGGAGCAGGAAATGGCAACCCACTCCAGCATTCTTGCTTGGAGAATCCCATAGACAGAGGAACCTGGCAGGCTACAGTCCACGGGGTTGCAGAGTCAGACATGACTGAGTGACTAAACAACAAGAACAAGAACAAAGAGAAGAAAGGTCCCCCCGTGATGGCTCTAGTTCCCTAGCTGGGATCCACCAGGCCCGTGGCTGCTGGGATTATTATTCACAGGGAAAAAGAGTCTGGAAGTGTCTGAGGAAAGAGAGAGAAGATTTTGCACAACATGATGGCAACGTGGGTTCCAGGCAAGGAGTCTGTTGCTTATACACCCATCTCAGTGCTGTTTGCATCGCTCTGTGCTCCAAGTGCTGGAGGGAAGTCCAACTGTTAGGTCATGGAAAAATGACAACTTTTTTAAAAATTTATTTATTTTTTAATTGAAAGATAATTGCTTTATAGAATTGTGTTAGTTTCTGCCAAAGAGCAGCATGAATCAGACATGAGAGGTGGGATGGGGAGGGAGGTAGAAAGGAGGTTAAAAACAACTGCTGCTGGAAAGATTGATGAAACTTCTCAGTGGTCACATACTAAAAAGGAAGCTTTTTAAACTGTAACTGTATGGTTATGGAGAAGTAATTGTGTAGCAGGTTTACTGACAACTCCCAAAAGATGCCCATGTTCTAATTCCTGAAACCTGTGAATAGTTCTGTCACATTACAATGGGAAATTAAGGTTGTGAGTGGATTAAAGTTGCTAACCAGATGACCTCAAATAAGGAGACTGTCCTGGATTACCAGGGTGGACCCACTGTATCCAGAAGGGTCCTTTAATGAGGAAAACTGAGGCAAAAAAAGTCAGAATTGTGACTGCTAGCTCTGAAAATGGAAATGGACCATACACCAAGGAATGCAGGGGGCCTCTAGAAACTGGAAAAAGCAAAAAAGGGGATTCTCCCCTAGATCTCCAGAAAGCAACAGAGCTCTACTGACACCTTGATTTTAGCCCAGTGAAAGCCACGCCAGACTTCTGACTTTCTGTCTGTAAGGTAATAAATTTTGCTGTTTTAAGCCACTAAGCCTGTGGGGATCTGTTAAAGCAGCAATAGAAAATTAATGTACCTGGTGGTTCTGTTGCCTTTTTAAATTTATTTAATTGTAATTTTTAATTTAATTTTATACTATTTTATTTTTTATAAATGCAAGTTCTAACTTATAAAAAGATTACTAAAAGATTATGTAGATTATGACATAAAAGCCACTCTTTAATAACTATCATTTTTCAAAAAATTTTAAATAGATAGTCTATATTACACATAAAAATGAAAAATTTCATCAAATGAGGTCGCTTCTTCATTCTATTCCAGAGATTGCCTATTTATCCCAATACCACTTAAACTACTTAAGACATTCATCATCTGTTCAGTAAATGATGTGGACACTTTGTGCCAGGCAGGGTTCCAAGCACTTAAGGACAGGATGACAAGACAGCCAAGGCCTAAAGTCTTATTACTTTCTGGTGAAAAGGGACAGACAATAATAAGTAAACAGATGAGATAATTTCAGACGGTTTTAAAATAGAGTGATAAAATATGGCACAGTAGAGGGGAGTGGGAGTGAGAAGCAATAGACCACTTCAGATGTAAGGCTGATGAGAAGTCCTCGCGGTTTTTAGCTAACAGCTGAAGGCTCAGAGGGAACCAGACATGAGACAACACTGTTTATTTTATTTTTTTTTTTTGAGACAACATTGTTTAAACTCTTCCATCCTCAGAACCAGCCACTAATCTCATCTAGAACCAAGTCACTTTTGTTTGTAACCACCAAAACATCATTACTCACAGGAATCATTCACTGCCGGGTGTGGCTACCAATGACTTGCGACTATTTCCCATGATCAAATGGCCACCCTTCTCATTAATCAAAGAATGTGCCACCACTTCAAAGGCTGGTCTGTTGGGGTCAGAAAATTTAGTTTCTGATGCTTTTCAGTAACCAGCTTTGTAATCCTGGAAAAGTAATGTGACCTCGCCAAGACTTGGTTAACCATCCATAAAATGGTAAACACAATGCTTCACTAATCAAAATCCCAACAAGACTTTATAAAGCATGGGAAGTTGATTTGCAAGATCTAGAAGGAAAAGTGTAAAAAAAGAGCTACTAAATATTTTAAGAATTGTAAGGGTAGCCCTTGTTTATCAGATTTCAAAACACAAAATAAAACTATACTTGTGATAGTATCAGAGAAGGAAAAGAGAAATATGTAAGAAAAAAACAATTCAGAGGTTAGGTCAATATTGAACACCATAACTCACTCACCATGTACTGATCACCTATAAGGTACCAGGCTCTAGGCTTATGTGGTGAGGTTACTAAGATGAGGGCAACCCGTTTTGGCCTTCCAAGATTATTCTAGGTCTGTTATAACAGATATGATCATCTGACTTGAGGAAGAAAACGGAGGAAGAAAACGGAAAGACTTAGGAAAAGAAAAGCCTTGAGCAGGGGCTTGTTAATCAAATAGCAATGTGCTGAGGAGAGGGCATTCCAGTGATAGGAGACAGCACATACGAGTACATAATAACAGACAGGCTATTGAGTTTAAGAGTGAGAGAAGAGCCTAGATGTCCATCAGCAGACAAATGGATAAGAAAGCTGTGGTACATATACACAACGGAATATTACTCGGCCATTAAAAAGAATACATTAGAATCAGTTCTAATGAGGTGGATGAAACTGGAGCCTATTATACAGAGTGAAGTAAGCCAGAAAGAAAAACACCAATATAGTATACTAACGCATATATATGGAATTTAGAAAGATGGTAACAATAACCCTGTATGTGGGACAGCAAAAGAGACACAGATGTATAGAACAGTCTTTTGGACTCTGTGGGAGAGGGCGAGAGTGGGATGATATGGGAGAATGGCACTGAAACATGTAAATTATCATATGTGAAACGAATCGCCAGTCCAGGTTCGATGCATGGGCCAGGGTGCTCAGGGCTGGTGCACCGGGATGACCCGGAGGGATGGGATGAGGAGGGAGGTGGGGCAGGGGGAGTTCAGGATGGGGAACACATGTACACCCATGGCAGATTCGTGTCAATGTATGGCAAAATCAATACAATATTGTAAAGTAAAAAAAATAAATAAATAAAATGGGGAAAAAAAAAGTGAGAAAGAGAAAGGCAAGGATCAGATGGTCATCTTGACACCTTATTTCATCCCGCAAGTAAAGCAGGGTCATTGAAAGACTTTAAGTAAGGGAAAGGCATAACTAGAACTGTGCTTCAGAAAGATTACTCAGATGGCCAGATGAAAGAAGGGAAGGGGTAAAAGATTAGAGACTACATACGAGACTTCTGCAAAAGATGATAACATACTGAACTAGGGACGTGTGGGCAGAAATGAGGAGACTCAACACAACGTAGTGGCTGACTAGACAAAGGAACACCGAAGCTGAGCTCTCCTCCAGATTTCTGGTGGATAGAGGACTAGGTGAATGGGAGACCCATTCCTCCAAGGAAAGGGAAAGAAATGTAGACTGACTTATGGGAGAAGAATGTGTAAACTTCAAAGCTTTTCTAAATTTAGTCCCACAATACAAAACATTAAACAACTAGCATTTCATTGTAATCAACAACTTTTTACTGTAAATAATGAAGATCAAATATTTACCTGTTCTTCATTGACTTTTAGTGCTTGTATTTGGGTCTCCAGTGCTTTTATTTGTGCTTCAAGCTGTATTTCTCTTTCTTTTCCATTCTGAAAGAGTTTCTGTGATTCTCGAAGGCTGAGGGCCAAACCATCCTTTTCATCTAGAATATTAAAAAATTTTATATAAGTAATATGTTACTGCAGAGGGATCCTTAATTGCCATAATCTATCAAACATGAGACCTTTATCACATATAAATGCTGCTGCATTTAATTCAGTTCAGATAATGAACTTCACTTGATTTGGAAAAAGTCAGAAAAGCTTCAAAAAAAGAATGCGAGTGACATCAAAAATTTTTTTTTTTTTACAGAACAGCAACCACTCTCTTCAAAAATCTTATTGTATCCCTTTAGGGACCAAAATATCCCCTAAAAAATCATTTCAATATCTGTTACTTGAGAAGCTACATAGACGTGACAAGCGCCTGCTGATCAAAGAAACAATCTGAGGAAAAATTACTTTTTATACATACTCTCAATGACCTCTTAAATTCACCTAGTCTTTAATTCTTCCCACATACTTTACTGTAACAGTTCACAAGCTCTTCTCTCAAAATAAATTTCATGAGCATTACAAAAAGATCTTTTCACTATCAATTAAGTTTGAAATAAGCTGGAGTTCAGTCACAAAATTATTCTACAAATGAGAGTTCAACACTGACCGAAACTACAGAAAGCATAAAGAGTGAGCAATTATAATCTGAAACCTGTGTTTACACTCTGCTTCTCCCAGAGATGACCACATTTTCTCCTTGGCACTCTCAAAGCAGTTCAGGATCACTAACTCTTACTTGGATTGAAATGTTACGCTAATTCATAGGCTCAGAAAACGTACTGCACACTAAACACAAGTCTCTCTGGGAACTGGAATACTTTATCCAAGGTAAGCTACATAAGGAATTGATACTTTTTTTTTTATACCTTTTTAAGATGGAATGCTATCAGCATATTTATACAATGTTCACTGATTCTATTAGTCTAATAAAATAGAAAAAAGGGGAAAAAATGAGGACCTCAAAATGTATGTTCTGGAAAGGAGTCCAAGGCAATGTGTCAAAAGTCCTGGATTTTTGTTTTGTTCTGACTGATTCATCGTGAGCCCTTCATCAAGTGCATCAAATCTCTACGCTTCATATTTAAAATGAGGTTACTGGAAACAAGCTATCTAGCTCTATGAACCTCAAACACAACAGCACTCAACAGTTGTTTTCTCACCTTTGGTTATCAGAAGCTGATGATTCAGATATCTAATTTGACGTTCACTTTCATTTAACTTTTTAACTAAATTGTCCAGTTGTCTCTCTTTAGCTTTGTTAAGAACCTGAAGTTGAATAATCTGCATATTTTCTGCAGAGTCTGCTTGGGAATTAAAGACAATTTATTAGATAAAAGCATATCAAAATATAAATTTGTGGTCATTTCGGGCAATGTTTTATCAAACTGCAAATACAACTTAGGGTATCATGAAATCAATTCAGGAGATTATGACTAGCATTTTTAATAAACAATGTTACTGGGCCAAAAACTTGGGTCTGCTCACTCGCACACAGTAAAGCCAACCTACTGACACCTAGTTGTAGTGAAGGCAAGTGCAGCGTTTACGGGGCCACTTAAGGAGTTTGAGCTTTTTAAGCATCAGCTGTCCAGGACTTCTCTTGCAGCACCTTATCTTAAATGCCGCACTTCCCTGATGGCTCAGTGAAGAACCTGCCTGCAATGCAGAAGACCTGGGTTCAAGCCCTGAGGTGGGAGGATCCCCTGGAAAAGGGAATGACAACCCACTAAGTATTCTTGCCTGGAGAATTCCATGGACAGAGGAGCCGGGCGGACCACAGTCCACGGGGTCACAGAGAGTCAGACACGACTCAGTGACACATTTTCACACTTTTCCCTTCACCACAACCAGGTATTGGTTAGGCTGACTTTACTGCAAGCAGGCAAGAAGATCCAAGTTTTGGTTTGGTAATAACAAGACAGAATATGATCAGTGTATCATGTAGCATAAATAAGTATTACTATGTAAAACTTATTTATACAATATTTACACAAATATTGTAGACCTCATCACAATGCAAAAAAAAAAAACATACTTCTTACTATGGTCACTGCCAGGAAAGTCTGAAAAGTCACTAGTTAATGTATACCTCTGAATCACTACCATTCAAGCTAATGAAAAATAAGTATATACCAATAACAATCGAATAGAGCTCCAAGCTCTCATTAAGTTGAAAAATAAAAGTACATCAACTTCTATAAAACCATATTCGAAGAAAATTTCTAGACATCCTTCTCAAAATATTTTATTTTAAGCAAGAATGAAATCATTTATAGTGGCAAATAACTGCTAAATTAACAAATTCAAGAATAGATTAATAAAAAAATTTTGAGGTCTTCTTTCAGAATTAAAGTCATTTTAAGGACCACTTAAAAATCACTGGGGGAGAAAAAGAAAAAAGTGATTCACAGAAGCAGGATAATCTTTCAACTACACAATGACGAATATTTTCCTATAAGAACAACGCTACTATTTGCTAACAAATAAAACAATCTTCTTTTTAAAAAGAGATATGGTTGAAACCTCCAAATGAAGGCTGAAAATTCTGTTACAAGTCAAACTTCTCTTGGGCTTTAGAACACGGCTAATCCAGGAATAAACACAATCTACAAGGCACCTCTCTTCAAACTCATTTTTTTAAACTACCGTTACTAAGAGCCTATAATCACTAAATCCAGCACTACCACTAAGTTAATTAAATTTCAGATGTCAAATTTAGGCAAATGTGTAACTAACAAAAAATGAATCAACTGGATAAAAATGCAGATTGTTAAGGAAGTGATGAAAGCGATATGTGCAAAACGACCAGGTAATATAAATGTAACCAAACACAGCAGAACTGAAAGAATAACATCAAGGTGTCAGGCCACCGTTGTGATGTCTATTTACTTAACCCCAAAAGAGTTATGCCACACACACTGTCCACCTCCTCATCTCTGCATTCCACAAAACCTTAGGAACAGAGAGAGGCTGCCCACATATTTGCTGTCAGCTCGCTGGGGGAAAAGGTGTTCCTTGACACTATCTATAGCCTAAGCTTAAGATGGAAGCAGCACCATGAAGTTAGGGCACTAGGGCTCAGTTCTCTCTGTGGTGCATGCAGCCCAGGAAACCCAGAATATCTGATATGACTTTTCCCCCACTTCTTAAATGTAATACAAAGACAACACTTGTGTTCACATTCTAGAATGTGAACTGGCTCTTCAGCAATAGCTAGAAGTTATTTCATATGCCAGAGAGAAGGATGACAAAAGTTGGATGTATGAAAACAAAGATTCAGATTAGTCAAGTTTGGTTTTTAGTTTTGAATGTTCGGATCTCCTCAAAATTCCCGAGTAGCACTTTTACTGATACATATACTATTTAAAAGAAAATTTTTAGCAAGTGTCACAGGACTAAACCTGAGATGTAAGTCTAGTTTTAATTCTGAGTATACAGTCATTTATATCAAAGTTGTCCATTACATAAAACTCTAAAAACAAACAAACAAAAAATTAAGATAATGGTTGACTTACTAAATTATATTTCTATGTAGTGAAAAAAACCTAAGATTGAAAAGAAAACTACATTTCATTTTCCAATTTAGACTTCTTTAAGAAAGATATGCTATATGAAGCTAATTAAGTCTTAACCAAATAGAATGACTGAAATATACAGCTGAGAAAATTTCTTTTAATTTTTAATTAAGGGAAATTTCAAATATATAAGAAGGTAGAGAAAAGAGTACAATAAACCCCATGAAACCATCATCTAGATTCAACAATTGTGTACTCATAGCCCGTCTCACTTTATCTGCATCCACACACAAACTTACCCCCCAACAACATGATATTTGAAGTCAATTCCAGACTTCATGTCAGCTTATTCAAATTTCAGGATATATCTTTAAAAATTGGACTCTATTCAAAAAATTTCATTATCTTACTTAAAATCATAATTCTTGAACATGCTCCAAGCGCTCAAAGTTCTCCAAATAGGCAGTGAAGAAATTTAAACTTGATACCTACTTTCATTAGCTCCTAAAAATTGCTGTTGCAGACCTTCAAATGTGTCACTTTCTGCAATGTCCTGGGCTGGTGAGCCATTATTCTGGGCAGAAGACTGAAAAGGTTTATACGTCACTTTATATGATTCCAAAGCTTGACAACTAGGACCTTGGGACATACCAAATTGCTATTACAAGGTGAGAGACAAAATTGACGATTAGGATTTGCTCTTTTCTTCAAAAATTATCTGAATTAGACAACTTGTTATAACACTTAATGGTGGTACAATTACAAATTTTATATATACATCTCCACTTAAAAACAGCACTTACTGTTACTTAACAAAGTTCAGAGAAAGCCTAAAATATGTAATTTCACACATTTTAGTTGTACTTCTGAGCATATAATAGAGCCATTTCCATAAATAACATTCAAGAATTCCAGTGAAATTGTATATAAACATTTAAGAATAATTTAGATGATACCAACATCGTGAAAACACATCTATGCAATAACATGTAATACAATGATTCATATGTAATAAATACTCAGTAACTTTTGTGGGATGAATAATATTTTATAGAGAAGTAAGGGAAGTAAGGGGAAATAAGTAAGTAAGGGGAAGTAAGGGGAAATGACCACCTTAAAATGACCAAAAACTTATCCTTTCATCAGGTAACAGAGAATATCTATTAGTGAAATGAGGCATTCATGGTCATTGAGAAAATCTAAGAAGCAGCTAACTGTATCCTAAGGTCTTACTCATCAAACTCTCCAGAGGCAGAGGGGGAAAGTATTTCTTTCCTTCACATTCACCCTATCTACTGCTGTATCAGCACAACAGATAATTGGCTTTGAAGTATTTGACGCAAAATGTGTGATAAGGGTGATGAGCTGGATGATCAAGGTAACTGACTGGTGTCATGTAGGTGATTAACCACTTTTAAACTCTATCAGGGTACCTGAATGTAGCTTCTCACCAGAGCAGGGTTAATGGTAGAAGCCAGAAGCCTCAGTAGACAAAGGTGGCTATTCTTTGACAGACTTAACTTTTAATGTTTAATTATTTCCACAAAGTCTCTATTTTAAAATTCTCATTTAATATGATTTAATTAGACTGTAAACAGAAAACTGCACGACTAATTCAGCATGAGACTGAATAAATGCACCCTCAGCATTATTTGTACTTAAATGTTACTACTGCACTTTTCACAAACATTTCTTAATCACACACACACAGCAAATAAATGTGTACACACACGCACAGATTTCTTGAAAGTCAAGTTTTTACAATACCTGAAAATGATTCCTTTGAGTATCTGAAAATGTAATTACATTGGTTGGTTGGCTATTAAATTCCTGCTTCTGACTGTTGGTATATGGCCTAAAGTTTTCAGGAAGGTGATATAAATCAGTCTGCTCATATTTACTCGGAGGACTATAACCACTTCCACCTTCATCTCCACCTCCTTCAGGATGGTAGACAGGATGCTGGTCTTCAGTTCTACTTTGATTCTCTTCCCAGCCATTGCTACTTTTCTCTCCAATACATATATCCCGAATCTCATTATAGGCCTATTAGATAACAAGAGTAAGAGAAAAGTACTGAGATCTATTCCCACCCTCAAAGTCAAGTTCGTGCCAGATACTTACATTTACATTTGGAGGTTTAGGCAGCACTTGATGCTCAGTCCAGTTCATCTCCAATTGCTCAGAATGATGTGTGCTTGAGAAAAATCAGTATTTTAAATTAGAGCCTATCATCTATTTGGACAGAGACACCATACAGAACCTCAAGATTTTAACATGGGTGCCCTCCAAATTTTACCTAAAGGATTAAGTAGTAGTCTACAATTTTACAATCATATCTGTTATTATTGCCTGCAAGGTATCTAAAGAAAAAACTCAAAGCAGTGTGATATACAAACGCAAGGGGTTTCAGGTCCTTACTCTTCCTCTCTGCCGTCCTCGCTGCAGTCTGAATAGTGAAGCTCGGGGGAAGACAGGTCATCATCCAGCATATCGTGAGGCAGGTCTGTGAGTAACTGCTGCAACTGAGACAGAAAGGTCAGCGTCGACACAACACTGGCTCAGACCCAAGATGCCAAACCAAAGTTGCCTTGGCACCAGTGATTTTGACTGGAGAAGTCAAAGAATTTCCTAATTTCTCTATGTAATAAAGGTCTTAAATTCCACAGGAATTACGTTTGTCAGTTCACTTGGGGGAAGGGGAACACATAAATATCAGGATTTATATTGGAAGGCTTTATCTTTTTCTAGAGGTCTTAGATTCAGGTACACATACAGCAGGAAAGCTTCTAAAACTTCTTTAGGCAAACACAGCAGGTCATAATAATGGCACGATCACTGTATCATGTTATCCGGGGGGCAGATCTGAGTCTCAGAATCCTGTTCTACCAGTAATCAGACCTGGAGGACTTGGCAATCAGACACCCTCCAGGGAATCTGAGTGGCCAGATGCACTGTACCCAGGTGGTGGTAACAGCAGCAGCAGCAGGTGGCCTTGGAAGGCCTTAGAAGCTCCAATAATACGATGGAAACCTCTTGGGGAGTGACTAATTACTAGAGAGCCATCCAATTCCAATGATGAAAAGATACACAATGCTTGGCTCTTATAAACAGTTGAGTAGAAAGAAGGCTGTAAGACTCAGGTTTTTATGGATGCAGTGCTCTCAAAAGTATAATTAAAACTGACATAAAAGCACATGATTTTGCTCTCCAATTTTTTTCCAGAAAAATCACATCTTTAGCCTTATAACAACTAGATAAATTCACTCAAGTTTCAAGATAAACTGTGACAAAGAGACAAATGAATTGTCTAATCTGTTGAATTTCAATATCTGTAAATGTCTTCAAATCCCAATATAACGACTTAAAATTTGTAATAATCAGAAGATTCAAATATTACGTTACTAAAGGGTCAAAGGACTGCTTATAATGACTTCTCTTTAAACCTAAGCACCAGTTACATTATTAGTAAATTAACCAAGTTCCTCCACAGTATATAAATCAGTCCCATAAAATTATGTAATAAATCAATTTTGAAGATATTAAATACTCTATAAAAATCCGGAAGTAAAAAATGAGATGTTGCTTAGTCTATGGCAGGATTTTTCCCCTATTTCTCTGCCATCAGAATGAAAGAAATGCAGTGTAGCTATAAAACATATCTGAGTATCACACTTATAATTTAAAAGATATTCTTAAAATGCATATGGTAAAAGTTAAATAAAACTATCCTAAGAAATGTCTGAAAAGAATGCCCCAACTGTTAACAGAGTTTTGGTGAAGTCAAACTTGGGAATGGAATGGGGTATGTGAGGTGGGGAAGGGGGACACTTCTTCACCCACATACATATTTCTAACATTGAGTGGACTGTTTGTTCGAAGGTGTTCTCAATACATTGGTTTCTCCAAAAATGAAGCAAGAGAAAAATATTCTATTCCAATCAAAAGTTATCCTGATGAAACTGATATTAACAACCAGCACCTTGACTTATTGACCACCTGCTCACATAGGTAACTGAAAAATCATCTTGTGAATTATCCATATCAGAGTTGACCTAAAGATATAAAGAATAACAAACACTAAAACAGAACACATCAATATAGTAGGATACCACAATGGGACTCAAGAGAAAGGTGGCAAAGTGATTTTACAAAGACAAAATTCACAAAGAGGAAAAAAAGGACCTATGAGAACTTTAAGAAAAAGACTATACCCATACATAACACAGGGAGTAAAATCAAAATAAATGTTTTATACTTAAATCAAATAAGGACTCCTATAAGGAAAAAACATTTTCTTCTAAACCTTCAGTGAGGTTCAAGTACACAACCTTATAATTCAGAAAAACCTTAATAGGAACATCTAAACAGTACAATTTCCACCCCCTCCCATAAAGATAGAAAAAGTCACACAATAATTAAGCAGTTCTTATAGTTTTCTTTGCAACACCACAAAATTAACAAAACTGGCAACCATGGAGGAAAATGAATTTGAGCATAAGCAATTAAGTTCCTCAAAATGCTTCTGGATCCATAAGTAAACTTGTCAAGTAGCAAAACATCCCTACTGTATTTAGTGTTTTATAAAATATTTTACAAAATGTACTAACATTTTTAAATCATTTCATTCACGTTCAAAAAATTTCTCAAGATCTTTGTCATAGCTGGGCTATATTCCTCGGCTCCATAACTTTGAGGACAGAGAGAGGTTAAATGAGCTTCCCAATAAGGCCATTCAGGAACAAAATACCACCTGCTTCCATTCCTGGGATCAAAGGGTACCCTCCTCATACAACTGTCAAATAGATTTTGCTTTTGAACCTTGTGCCATAAAACACAAAATTATCATATATCAACTTATGCATGTTACCAAATAGAAAATTTTAGAAACTATAAAATTTCCTCATTAAAGATCCACCCAATTACCAAATACAGATTCAAGAAGAAAGATAATAATCCTTATAAACAGCAAGAACTAATTCCCCTTATGACTTCCAAATTTGGAAGTAATAACTGTCTTTTGGTTGCAAATGCAATCCTCTTAGGATATGATTGAGTTATCAACTGAGTTTAATAATTAAAGAGACACTTTCCCTAGGAAAAGATAATTTGCATTGCTAAGACCTCTATGAAATGCATTTTAAACTAGTCTATAAAATCCTCTCCCTTTACTAGCTGGTGTGTTTGTTCCTGAAAAAATAAAGAAAAAAAATTATTTGAGGGCATTTTACTCAAAGAACTTTAGCAACAAAACACTTTTACAATAATCTACATAGAACAGCCAAAGAGCCTAGTTCAAGGGGAATGTAAAACAAGGAACATGTAAACCTTTTCTTAAGATTCTTCATCTTAAATTAACTAAACAGACTGTCTTCAGAGTCTATAATCCTTGATATTCATGAAAGCAAGAGTTCTCAGATTACAAAGCAGATAATACATCTTCTCCCCAGAGGTCAGCAGCAAATGGAGTGGACAGCATTCATCTGCCTTCTAAACAAGTTGCCCAACAAGTACACTGATGAACCGATTCTGATATTTTAAAATATGAATTGTGAAATAATGCTTTCATGGATACACACTAAGCAGAATCTTCATCTTAGCCTCAGAGCCAAGTTATTAATAAAAACATCCCTGAAAAGGCCCAACATGGGACTGACAAAGGGTCAAATAATTTGGCAGCTAGACCTTTAGTCCATGAATTACACTACATGCAAAAAATTTTTTTAAATCCTTTCCATTAGGTAAAACAAATTTTATAATCTTAAAGGGGAAGACTTTGCCCAGATTGCCACATATCTGTAAAAGAAACACGGCAACATTTATTAGACAAATATCAGCGATATTGCAAGTGACACATAATAGAACTTTACGTCTGGAAGAAACAATGGAGACCCTCCAAGCCAAATCTCTCCTGCTAAAGGTGACCACAGTGAGGCCGAGAGCAGGTGAGGGGCATGCCCACGAAAGCAGGAGTTATAGCCCCTGGGCCGGTAGGGGAACCTGAATCTCTCCATTCCCACTCCTATCTTCTTCCACATGACATTCAGTCGGCCGCTGGAAGACACAGTCCTACCTGTTTGCATACAAGTAAGTGTCAGTCAGCCAGAGTTCAGTGTTTTTGTTCCCATTGTGACAGTTCCTGAAAAATACCTACATATTATGGGAAACATTTCAAAGGCACCATCTAGATAAAGTATTTGTTGTTCTTTAGTCGCTAAGTCATGTCTGACTCTTTTGTGACACTGTGGACTGCAGCCTGCCAGGCTCCTCTGTCCATGGGATTTCCCAGGCACTCCTACTGAGTGAGTTGCCATTTCCTTCTCCAGGGGATCTTCCCGACCCAGGGACTGAATCCAGGTCACCTGCATTGGCAAGCAGATTCTTTACCACTGAGTCACCAGGAAAGTCCCAGATGAAGTGTAAGAAATTGCTAAAGGAAAATAAAATGTAATATGAACAACAACAAAAAATACAATATGAACACTCCACTATTTGTTTCTTTGCTTTACTTAGGTGATGACAAGAAAATTTCACTAAATAAAGAATATAAAATGCAAACAAATGCTAGCTTTACAACTCCCCCTAGTGGAGACAACACATCAAAAATGTACCCATAAGTAATCAAACAAGGCAGTTAAAAGTAGAAGAAAGGCTTTGCGATGGAAACAGTCTTTAAACTACACCATTCCAAGCTCAATTGAGCTTACTATTCTCCTAGAGAAGTACCAGTATAAAAACTAAGAGGGATTCAAATCTGTATTGCCAGGTACAAGTTTCTGTCTGCCATCTGCTACTCAAACCACTTATCTTTCTACTCAAGATCATTTTCCAGGTTTTGAACACATCATCACTAAGTGGAGGTGATAGAATTCCAGCTGAGCTATTTCAAACACTGAAAGATGATGCTGTGAAAGTGCTGTACTCAATATGCCAGCAAATTTGGAAAACCAGCAGTGGCCACAGGACTGGAAAAGGTCAGTTTTCATTCCAATCCCAAAGAAAGGCAATCGCAGAGAATGCTCGAATTACCGCACATTGCACTCATCTCACACACTACTAAAGCAATGCTCAAAATTCTCCAACCCAGGCTTCAGCAATACATGAACCGTGAACCTCCTGATGTTCAAGCTGGTTTTAGAAAAGGCAGACGAACCAGAGATCAAATTGCCAACATCTGCTGGATCATCAAAAAAGCAAGAGGGTTCCAGAAAAACATCTATTTCTGCTTTATTGACTATGTCAAAGCCTTTGACTGTGTGGGTCACAATAAACTGTGGAAAATTCTGAAAGAGATGGGAATACCAGGCCATCTGACCTGCCTCTTGAGAAACCTGTATGCAGGTCAGGAAGCAACAGTTAGTAGCATACTTAAAAGCAGAGACATTCCTTTGGCCGACAAAGGTCCATCTAGTCAAGTGCTACTTTTCCAGTAGTCATGTATAGATGTGAGACTTGGACTATAAAGAGAGCTGAGCACTGAAGAATTGATGCTTTTGAACTGTGGTGTTGGAGAAGGCCCTTGAGAGTCCCCTGGACTGCAAGGAGATCCAACCAGTCCATCCTAAGGGAGATCAGTCCTGGGTGTTCACTGGAAGGACTGGCTGAAGCTGAAACTCTAATACTGTGACCACCTCATGTGAAAAGTTGACTCACTGGAAAAGAACCTGAAGGGGAAAGATTGAAGGCGGGAGGAGAAGGTGACGACAGAGGATGAAATGGTTGGATGGCATCACTGCCTCAATGGACATGAGTTTGAGTAGGCTCCAGGAGTTGGTGATGGACCGGGAGGCCTGGCGTGCTGCAGTCCGTGGGGTTGGAAACAGTCGGACATGACTGAGCGACTGAACTGAACATTGTTGTTGTCGTGTTCAGTCGGCTAAGTTGTGACTGACTCTTTGTGACCTCACGAACTGCAGTGCTCCAGGCTTCCCTGTCTTTCCAGTATCTCCCAGAGGTTGCTCAAACACATGTCAGTTGAGTCAGTTATACTATGTTACATTATGAATGAGTTAACAAAAGAGTTTTTGAATTCCTCTTCTCTGGACCAGCTTTACATGTAAAAGTTTGCCTAGAATACTTTGAATGAGGTCTACTTAGTAGCAAGAAGGACAACTACATCGGTAGTTCTCAAAGTAATGAACTCCGATAAGTTGTGAGGAAAGAATGATATGAGCATTAACTGATGTGATAGCATAGCTCCATCATATTCTCACCCTCCCTCACCTGTACTCTAATCCACTCTGTTCACTGTATAAGAGGTGGAGCTTCCAGTGAAACCCTGGTGAGGCTGCGGGTTATACACTTGTCTGCTATGCCTTGGAACACAATGGCCAAACTTTTGCCAATATACCATTCAGAACTTTGGCGATTTAGAGATGATTATAGTGCTTTACTTTTCTGAAAAATTCTTGCCGTCTATGGGGTCGCAGAGAGTCAGACACAACTGAAGCGACTTAGCAGCAGCAGATATGCAGATGACACCACCCTTATGGTAGAAAGCAAAGAACTAAAGAGCCTCTTAAGTAAAGTGAAAGAGGAGAGTGAAAAAGTTGGCTTAAAACTCAACATTCAGAAAACTAAGATCATGGCATCTGGTCCCATAACTTGATGGCAAATGATAGGGAAACAATAGGAACAGTAACAGACTTTATTTTGGGGGGCTCCAAAACCACTGAAGATGGTAACTGCAGCCATGAAATTAAAAGACACTTACTCCTTGAAAGAAAAGCTATGACAAACCTAGAGGGCATATTAAAAAGCAGAAACATTACTTCACCAGCAAGGGTCCGTCTAGTCAAAGTTATGGTTTTCCAAGTACTCATGTATGGATGTGAGAGTTGGACTATAAAGAAAGCTGAGTGCCAAAGAACTGATGCTTTTGAATTGTGGTGTTGAAGAAGACTCTTGAGAGTCCCTTGGACTGCAAGGAGGTCCTACCAGTCCATCCTAAAGGAAATCAGTCCTGAATATTCATTGGAAGGACTGATGCTAAGGCTGAAACTTCAATACTTTGGCCACCTGATGCGAAGAACTGACTCATTGGAAAAGACCCTGATGCTGGGAAAGATTGAGGGCAGGAGGAGAAGGGAACGACAGAGGATGATATGGCTGGATGGCATTACCAACACGATGGACAGGAGTTTGAGTAGGCTCTGGGAGTTGGAGAGAGACAGGAAAGCCTGGCGTGCAGTAGTCCGTGGGGTCACAAAGAGTCGGACATGAATGAGCGACTGAACTGACCAACTAATGACAAAATATATATATGGCTAAATTTTTACAAAAATTCTAAATTTTATTGCTGAAATTCTAACCTCTGATCTCACTTCTTCACTAGCAGCTATTTTTTAAAAAGGTAAAATACTTATTAATAAATATGAAACACTTTTTATTAACATTTAGATAACATTTAATATTCATTAACATATGGATAACATTTATTATCCATAGTAGTCAAGTTAGAGTCAAAGTTAACTAGCTATTTTCTTCTACTGTGCTAGAAACAATCACTCTCAAATACTTAACCTCTTAAGATCATCTTTTCCTCTGGAAATTCCCTACTCCAGCACATAATCTATCAAAGAATGATCCCAATGGCTATCTTCTATATCATCTAGAATTAACTGTCTCCTTAATCAGTACAGTGTTTAAAACTTTCACCACACAATACGCCTGGTAGTAAGTTCTCTCTAATATCCTACCCACCATTTCTGATGACAAAAATCACCTGTCAGGATTATTTTTTCTCTTCTTTAAAGTCTGGTATAATAATTACTCAAACTGATCCTCTCAAGAACCCCAGTAGCTAAATTCCAATGAACTACCCAAGGCCATCACGGTCATGAAAACCTCATGCTGTGAGTTTAAACAGTAACAGAAAACCCTCAACCCCATCTCTGCCACAACAATCGTTGTGAAGACCCCTATCAAAATCTGGAAACCCTGGCAAGGGTCACAAACTCCAATGCGCTCGGTGACTTGGCAGAGAATTTACAAGAGTGAAGCTAGTGGGTTCAAGGACACAAGTCCATGTTTTGTTGTGTTCTGTTTGGGGGTTGGGGTGGGGGCACCACGGCCAGCTGGAACGGGAGAGCCACTGCTCAGCTCCAGCCCACCTACGACTATGTGCAGACACAGGCCACATGCAGCCTATTTCAAGACAGGCCAGATTCTCTGGACTGCTGCATGAGATTTTCCAATCTTTAAATTTAGATTCAATTTTTCAAAAACACTGTGCAAACAAACAATACATGTCTATAGACAAAATCCACCAAGCTGCCAGCTTCGTCTCTACCCTAATGCTATTGCCAGCCATGTGGGCAACCAACCCCATTCATTGCTTCCGATTAATACAAATGGTCCATGGTAACTACTAAAAATTATTATTTTACATATTGGGAAATGGGTCATATCATGGAAACAATCTAAGTGTCCACTCACAGATGAATGGTTAAAGAAGATTTACACAATGGTATATATACACAATGGAATATTGGCCATAAAAAAGAATGAAACAATGCCATTTGCAACAACATGGATGGACCTAGAGATTATCATACTAAGTGATGCAAGTCAGATGGTAAAAGACAAACATAATATTGCTTATATGTGGAAGCTAAAAAAATGATACAAAGGAATTTACAAAACAGAAATAGACCCACAGACATAGAAAACAAACTTATGTTTACCAAAGGGGAAAGGTGAAGAGGAATGAATGAGGAGTTTGGGATTAACATATATACACTACTATATGCAAAAGCAATTAACCAAACAGGGGCCTCTTGAATAACACAGGGAACTATATTCAATATCTTATAATAACCTACAATGAAAAAAGAATCTAAAAAAGAATCTAAGTATCTAAAAAGAGAAACCAATCACTTTACTATACACCTGAAACTAACACAACATCGTAAGTCAACTATAATGAATAAAAAATTTAAAAAAACACTTGAAAGAAAAAAAGAAAATGGCTCATATCAACATTCAGTACAAAAACCTGTTATTATAGCCAATCAAGAAATCTGACTCAAACTAAAAACAATCATCACAATCAAACTGATTCCCATGCTACTATTACTACTGGGCCAAGAATTCCACTAAACACACTTACTCCTTTTCTCCTTAAATCTATTCACCCAACAGAGCATTCAGAAAGATCTTTCAAATATATAATCGGACATCACTTCCCTGCTTAAAATGCTCCACTGGCTTCCCACCACTTCTAGAAAAAAATACAAACATCTTCCCATGACATCCCATGATCTGGCACCTCTTCACCTGCCTCCACCACTAACCCCTTGCTCACACAATCCCAACACCACAGCCTTCTGGCTATTTCACAGATATGGAGGTTTCTCTGCTCAATTTCCAGGCTTAACACTTATATCTTGGCCTAGAGTACTCCTTTTGAGCTTCGGTATCTCTGCTTCATCTCATGACTCAAGGCTCAGCTCAAACATTTCCTCCTCCAAGGGACCTTCCCCAACCAGTTCCCAGTCGGTTGCCTTAATATCACTATATTTTGTTTCCCTATCATTTATCAGTGCTAAATTATCACTCACACAAATTACTTTATTTGCTTGTTTATTATCTGACTCCACTAGGATGTGGAATACCTGAGGCAAAGAATCTTGCTGACTTGCCCAAGCAAGTATATCTCTGCCTTCAAGATTAACCACTACCTCCTAACTGAAAAGATCTTAAAGAATCTAACCATTTAACTGATGGCATCATACACAGTTGTGTTTTATTCTTGTCTCAAAAAAGGAAGACTTCCACTCATTTAAAATGCCGATCAAGTTTCAAGGTAGGGGAAAAGACCTTTGAAATGACACAAAATGATGTAATTTTGGTTAGAATATAAAATTGTTTAAGATTGGGCTTAGAATTCTTCTTCTGAATAACTTACCTCTTTCTCCCTTTCATAGTCTTCTTTGTCAAATTCTTCGTCTTCATTTTGTGTCTGCAGGGCCACACTGCCAAAGTCTAGTGACATGGTCCGCCTGCAGGAACAAAAAGATGCTTAGTTTTTAAACAGCCCACAAAAACTACCCCAGAGCAAACTACATAAGAGATGCCATAGACAAAAAAACACGTGCAGCCGGGGAGAAGCTATATGTAATTCACACACAACAAGTGATCAGTATTCCAAATATCAATACAAAGAGAGTTCTTACAAATTAAACCATGATTCACAGAAAATAGGTATTATAACAGAAATTCATAAAAAGATGAAAAAATGCCAAAAACTAATAAACCTATGACTAGACCTTTCTTCTGGTCTGGAAAGCATAACTCAAAACAGTAAGATTTTTGTCCACACACAAAAATAATAATAAACCACAAACATGCCCAAACAGAAAAATTTTAAGAATACACTCAAAGGTTCTAATTTGATGTATTAAATATGACACAGGTAGCATCCACCACAATTTGTTTCATTCTTTTTTAAACATTTACTTGACTGTGCTAGCTGTGGCATGTGGGATCTAGTTCCCTGACCAGGGATTGAACCTGAGTCCCCTGCAGTGGGAGCATGGAATCTTAACCAGTGGACCCCAGGGAAGTTCTTATTTCATCTTTTGAATATCACCAATACAAATGTCATGTTTTTCAGAAAGAGAGCCACTATATGCTGTGTTAATGCTTGCTACTCAAAAAACATTTACAACCTGGCAAACTCCACAGTGCACACAACAAAAATGTGTTAAATGTCCTGCTCTTAAGCTTGAGCAAATCAGGTTCTAGCAAAAAGTACTCAGGAAAACATGAATGAAGGATGTGAAGCTATACCACTGTCCAAAAGCAACAGCAAGTGTTCCCTGGAGAATGGTCACTGCTGTGGCAGCAGGAGATGGGTTTTCAAGTACTTATGAACAAAAGACAGCTGATGGTTTAAACAATACTTAGGGATCCTGACAGTCCACAGAACCTACCCAGAATTTCAAAGCTCCAAAGCGTCCTGACAAAAAAGCAGGCAGGCGTCATCAATTACACGGCCCAACACTGCCCTCGTTTCAGTCCACTCCTGTGTGTGCCAGTGAAACGCGCTTTGATGTGAGCCTGGGCCACAGCTCATGGACTGCGCTTTTCAGGCTCTAAACCGTCATTAAATTGACAGTGAAATGAGAAGCACAGACCCAGCAATCCAAATACATTTTACCATGAAGAACTTAGCTCCTGCCTGTTAACAGTCGAGGACTAAGATCACAAACTTTTATGTAAGCCATGTAAGCTACTTTTATGTAGCTCTAGAGCAAAAGCTGTTCCACTTCATCGGATTAAAGGTGCCCTTGATTGTATAACACAGCTTCATTTGTACTGCTAAGCAAAAGATGTGGCCAATTAAATTATGACAAATCATTAATTTTAAAATGAGGTCCCACTTTGCAGATGCTAAAATGTGAAAAGAAGTGAACTCCCTGGCAGTCCAGGGGTGAGGACTCAGTGCTTCCACTGCTGTGACCCAGGTTCAATTCCTGGTCAAGGAACTAAGATCCTGTCAGCCGTGGGGAGCAGCCTTTAAAAAAAAAGTGAATGCATGAGACAAGTGCTCGGGCCTGGTGCACTGGGAAGACCCAGAGGGATTGGGTGGAGAGGGAGGTGGGAGGGGGGGCCGGGATGGGGAATACATGTAAATCCATGGCTAATTCATTTCAATGTATGACAAAAACCACTGCAATGTTGTAAGGTGATTAGCCTCCAACTAATGAAAATAAATGGAAAAAAAAATAAAAATAAAAATAAAATAAACATCATCTATATTCTGAAAAAAAAAAAAAACGTGAAAAGAAAATGTGCATATTAGAATAGATGAAATATGATTTTACAGATGAACACAAATACAAATTTCAATGGTGGCAATTCCCATAATTCAAATTTTGTTTGTTTTCCAAGGACTGAATTGTATCTCTTGGCCAAGCTCTAATTTGTGGTTCAACTTCTTTACTCCTCTCCTCTCTGGTCCCGACAACCACCCCATTCATTTCAACTTTAGGAATTCAAACTCCTCACATCAACAAACCCTTCCAGCCTCTGCTTCTTAGACTAGACCTGCTCCTGTGCCAGGACAACATGGAGGAAGGGACACGCACCCTTCTTCACTGAGAGGCAAGAGACACACTTGGGGAATCTCAACCTGGTCTCCACTCAGTGGCCAGGAACCCTCTGTATACCAGCAGAAGATGGAGACCTGAATATGGAGAAGAGGCTAGAATGTAGCTGAAGCGGTGAGGGGAAAACACGCACACAAGCTCATGTCTCTGGGGATTTTTCACTAATTCAGGTGAACATCAAGTTCACTAAAGACAGTAGAAATATTACAGACAACAGATAATGTAATATTATAGATAATACATAATGAAAAGTACAACCCCCTTTAGATCTTCGCACCTTAAAAGAAATGCAGTTAAGCTGGACCTTAAAGACTGAATTGCCCAGACAGATATAATCGTTCCTGCTTCTAACTTTTATGATATTTTCCACCTTTTCCTGAATTTTATACTTAAAGCCAGAATACAAAATTTGGATTAACTTCTCTTTTATTAGGTAAAAGGAGAGAGGGTTTTGTTTTTGGGGGGTTTTTTTGCCCTTCACTAACCTGCCATCAACTCCTGTTGAATACTGAAAAAGAACATTGAGATTTATAAGAGCCTGTTGCTAAATATAGCTATTAAAGAAAAAAAAACTACTTTTTCTCGAATAGTAATAGATAACAGTGAATTCTACAAGGTCTTTCCAAGTGAAGAAAATGTAAAAGATACAACTGTCTTTTTTTGAATGGTGTTTTAAATCCAAACCATATCATAAAGAAGAAATTTTTGAAACTATCTGAAAGAACAAAATCTCTCTCCACTGGGGAAGAAAAGGTACAAATTAGCTTTCCTTCTGAAAAGTGCAAACTGTCAGAGACCATAATAAACTGTTTAGGCATAAAAGTATATTTGATAAACTTACTTAGGCATTAAAAAAAACTTACTAAAAAGATAATTAGTGTTTTAATTAAAATGTAAAATAAAAGCTAATGTGTTTATTCTGCATATTAAACATATACTAATTACTTCTACCAGAGGCGTTAATATTCAGAATAAAAGAAGTTGCTTTAAAAAAAACAGCAAGATAATAAATTCAGAAGCCATAAAAAGGAAAAACTTGACAGAAACTTAACCAGAAAAAAAAACTGCATGTAGCAAAAACAATCATTAGCAACTCAAACGTTAATATGTGTGTGTGTGTGTGTATATATATATATATATATATATATATATACACAAAGATAAAATAATAATAATGAGAAAAATACTTGCAAAATGTAACACAAACTACCAAAATACAATTCTCACAAAAAAAAAAAAGAGAAAAAGGACTTCCCTGGTGCTAACAGTGGATAAGGATCTGCCTGCCCATGCAGGGCACATGGGTTCAATCCCTGGTCCAGGAAGACCCCACATGCTGCCAAGCAACTAAACCCATGTGCCACAACTACTGAAGCCTTCGGCCTCCAACAAGAGGAGCCCCCGCAACTAGAGAAAGCCTGTGCATAGCAACGAAGACCCAGCACAGACAAAAAAGAAATCAAATAACTCAATTTAAAATGGACAACTGAGGAAATATGATACTCAACCACTAAATTGGAAAACTTCGATAACACCTAGTGGTGGCTATTTTGTAGGAAACAGGCATCCTCATGAATTGCTGATGAAAGTGTGAATTGGGGACACCATCTTGAAAATTATCAATATATCAAAAGAGTATTTGCCCTAGTAAAAGTACTTCTGAATAAATTTGGCAACAGTGTGTCACTAATAAAAATAATGAAGTATTTCTCTATACATTATCATTTAAAAAAATCAAGATGCAGAGTAAGTGGACAGTACTTTTTTTTTAGTAGCAAGCTACTTAATACTTTCATCTTAGATAACTTCTTTTCTGAAACCATTACCAAGACTGTTCTGTCGTATGTCCCACTTAGTACTCATTTTGCTGTCCCTGGTTGTTTTCTTTTCCCTCCTTGCAATGATAAAGATCAATGGATGTTTAATTGCATGAAACATTAAAAAGCAAAAGCAGCATTGTTTTTGCCTCATCTTATAGGCACTCTAAAGGCAGAATTATTAAAATCTTATCTCTCCCACACTTTGCACAAGTGAGGCACCCAACCAATATTTATTTTTGTTTTACAAGTAACTTTTTGTACTATTTTTTTTTTCATTTTTATTGGAATATAGTTGCTAAAAAGCAGAGACACTACTGTTCCAACAAAGGTCCATCTAGTCAAGGCTATGGTTTTTCCAGTGGTCATGTATGGATGTGAGAGTTGGACTGTGAAGAAAGCTGAGCACCAAAAAACTGATGCTTTTGAACTGTGGTGAAGAGATGACTCATTGGAAAAGACCCTGATGCTGGGAGGGACTGGGAGCAGGAGGAGAAGGGGATTGGAGAAGACTCTTGAGAGTCCCTTGGACTGCAAGGAGATCCAACCAGTCCATCCTAAAGGAGATCAGTCCTGGGTGTTGATTGGAAGGACTGACGCTGAAGCTGAAACTCCAATACTTTGGCCACCTCATGCAAAGAATTGACTCATTGGAAAAGACCCTGATCCTGGGAGGGATTGAGGGTCAGGAGGAGAAGGGAACGACAGAGGATGAGATGGCTGGATGGCATCACCAACTCGATGGACATGTGTTTGAGTAAACTCCGGGAGTTGGTGATGGACAGAGAGGCCTGGCGTGCTGTGACACAACTGAGCAACTGAACTGAAGAAGAAAAGAAGGCTAAAAGAAGTTTCACAGAAAGAAAGGTTTTAGATTAGAAATAGATCTTAAAGAACACGGTATGGCTGTAAGTGGTTTAGAAAGAGGGTACTCATTCAAACAACTAGGGGCTAAGTTCTGGCTCGCCTGCTTATCAGCTGTGCAAACTTGCACAACTGGTTCCATTTCTTCATTAATAAAATAGGGTTTTATTTAACAAAAGGTGTACTATTTCAAAAATTGGCTATGAGGATCCACAAGATTTGTGGATGTAAAGTGCCTATACTGTGTGTCAATCAATACATTTTAGTTTTGTTTTTTATATAACATGTTACTGATGAATACAAGTCTGCCAGCTACAAAAGATGTTAAACAAACCGACAGCATTCAGTCTATCTGAGAAAAGGTGAGTGTGCCCTGTGTGTGAAACTGTCCTTCAAATAATGCAACTTTTTCTGGGATAAAAATAACACTTTCTTCAAGATGCTCCCCCAATCCTGTTGCTTCATGAATTTAGTTACTCTGGCACTTTCTGTCTTTATTTCTTGTATTTTTCTTACAGCTTCAATTTCAACTCATTTAGTTGAGTGCATTCACATGTAGGAAGTGCATATACATTGTCTCAGCATCTGAAGAATATGGCAAAATTCAAGTTAAATCAGACTCAAGTTCATGGCTGTAAGACAGAAAAGGCTAAGTGCCACAAAAGTGGTTTTTAAGTGCCCTAGGAGGAAGGAAATGCTACTTACTTGCTTATAGGTTAGCTTCCTTTCAAGAATGGAAACAGCCAAAGAACATTAGTCTGTTTCAGACTTGCAACATACTAGGCTTAGGAGGCCTGTTTGATTCATTCAGCAATTACTTGCAAGCACTGTTCAAGATCACAAAGTTCATCAGGACTTGGTGTAAGGAAAAAAAAAACAGACATAAAGGCAAATGACAATAATCTGTGATCAGTACTAAGAACAACAGCTTGAACAAATGCATTCAGGGTGCCCAGAGGATGCTGCGAGTAGGGACCCACAGGCTGAACGAAGAATAAGCCAAGTCCTTACCAAGGAACTCCGTTTGGCTTCAACTATGACACAACAAACAGGTACCGCGAGACCGAAGGACCACGGAGCCCAAGATGCCTGGGGCTGCTGACGGGCTGCCAGGCCAGCTGCACTCGGTCCACACACGTGTACAGAGCACCACTGTGAGCCAGGCGCAGCGCCGGGTGACCACGGCGGGGGGCCCCAGGGCAGGGCCTCAGGGTCACCCTAGCAGTCTGGAGGAGGCGAGGATGCTTCCCAAACCTCACTCCTAAGTAGGAACCTGAGATCTGGCTAACACTTCAAAGTCAAAGGCGGAGCCCCGCCACCCGCAAGCAATCCACCACCCCGGGATTTGGGGAGGGAGATCAGTCCTCCGGGAAGTCTCAACCAGGACCCCAAGGACCCCGCACCTCCTCCTATCCCAGCCCCAAACCCAGCCAAGAAGCGAAACTCACCGGAGGCCACGGATGCTGTCACAGCAGTGACACTCAAGCTCCCGAGGAACACCACCTTCTAGCAAATACCTCAACCCGGCTCTAACCCAGTAGCGTCTTCCTACTCACAACCGAACCCACTAAGCCCCGAGACCATTGAGGAGCAGCCGCTTCCTTCAATTGCAGTCTAGACGCGGACCTGGTGGGCGGGGCTATGCCGGCTCGGGGCGGGGCATAGAAGCGGAAGTCTCCGCCTTTTTCAAGCTAGATTGAGAAGTCCGCCCGCAGTTGCAAATAATACACGGCTGTTTAAAAGCGGGCGCCAGAGGTGGCGGGAAGTTCCTCCTGTGTACCTATTGGTGGGTTCCTGAGCCAATTACGAAAGTGTTAACTCTAGAGAGGGCGGGTTTATCAGTTACTTAAGAGATGCCCAAGCACCTGGCCTTCATTGGCGCGGAGAAACCGGTCTCGCCCTAATTCCTTGCCCCTCACTTCACCATCTGGTGCAGTGTCCCGCGCCCACTATGCTCCCCACGCCTGAATTCCAGTTCTCAGTTGCAGCACACAGAATCCCTCACTTCCCCCACCCTTAAGAGATTTTTCGCCTTTACCCGATTCTCTAAGGTGATGGGTGCCTGCTTCCCCATCACCTTAACAGCCTGAATTTTCTTGCTTACTAGGTCCCGCCTTGTTTGAACGTGTGTTTCTTTACTGATGAAATGACATATTTTCCACGTTTATTTACTACCTGAATTTCCTCGAGTGTGAATGTTCTTGTCACTTAGATATTGTTCAGTCGCCAAGTCATGTCTGACTCTGCAGCACGCCAGGTATCCCTGTTAACCTGTTCTTTTCTTTAATTTAATTGGAGGCTAATTACCTTACAATACTGTAGTGGTTTTTGCCATACATTGACATGAATCAGCCATGGGTGTACATGTGTTTCCCATCCTGAACCCCCCCACCCCGACCGCCCTCCCGACCGCTCAGGGTCATCCCGGTGCACCAGCCGTGAGCACCCAGTGTCTCATCCATGGAATCTGGACTGGCGACCTATTCACATATGGTAATATACATGTTTCAATGCTATTCTCTCCAATCATCCCACCCTCGCCTTCTCCCACAGAGTCCAAAAGTCTGTTCTTTACATCTGGGTCTCTTCTGCTGTCTCACATATAGGGTCATTGTTACCATCTTTCTAAATTCCATATGTATGCGTTAATATACTGTATTAGTGTTTTTCTTCTGACCTCACTCTGTATAATAGGCTCCAGTTTCATCCACCTCATTAGAACTGATTCAAATGTGTTCTTTCTAATAGCTGAGTAATATTCCATTGTGTTGCTTCTATGTCCTGGCTGTTGTAAACAGTGCTGTGATCAACATTAGGGTACATGTGTCTTTTTCAATTCTTAACCTGTTCTTTTAAGACCATGCAGCCCAGTGTGCAGTAAAGCTCTCTGCTATGTCTAACTTCCTGGGGTAAATGGTTCCAGTGAATTATCAAGAAGGGAGCTAGTAGCAGCAGATTCACACATCCTTTTAACCCTTTCCCATATATACTAGTATGGAGAAAAAGAACTGTTAAAGGTTGCTCATAACCTGACTAGCTGCCTCTTGCTACCTCCACCATCCCACCCCTGGATGCCTATACTGACCCCTGTAACTCAAGCATAAGGGTCTGGCACATAATAGGTACTTAATCCATAGCAACAGGTGAATGAAATCTCTGGTCAGACTGCCCCTGATTCCCAGAGTGGTATTGTTTTGCTTATTTCTTTCACCTCTACTGAGTTGCCCACTCCCCTCCCTACCCAATCTTCAAGATAGAGTACCTCCTCTGAAGTCTTTCATGACACATGCTTCTCTTCCTTGGTAGAAATGATCTTTCTACACTCTGCACACAGTGTACATCTCTTACTATAATCCTTACTATCTACTATAGTCAGTTGCTATGTGATTGTTTCACTAAGTCCAACAATATCTAAAGGCACTATTTGCTTTGTGGCCCCTGGCAGGCAATCAAAACAAATTTGATTAATGAGCAAATGAATGAACAAATAAAATGAAGGCTTTTTGTTTCAGAAAAAGCAAATAAAAGGCATTCGGGTAAATGGCAGTTGTCGAAATCTGAGCCAAGGTGTGTAAGAACTAGGCTTATGGGCTTTCCACGTCTCACCACAGTCCATCAGCAAGGTGCCTGTAATGTCCCAAGTTAAGGGTTAAGATGAAATGTTACAGCAAGAATGCTAAGGGATCCCTATCCATAAATAGCTGTTTCTTAGATGGAAGGAAAAAAAAAAAAAAAAAGATGTTAAGGGAGAGGAAGCACATGAAGGGACAGTGTTTTTTATCCCTTATGTAGCACTTTATGCATTCGTAACTTCTTTTACAGACACTAACTCATGTTTCCTCACAACAATCCTGTGAGGGGCTAGTACAGGTTTTAGGATACCGTTTAAGAGTAGAAGAGGAGAAGAAAATGGCAACCCACTCCAGTATTCTTGCCTGGAGAATCCCATGGACAGTGGTTGGCAGGCTACAGTCCATGGGGTCGCAAAGAGTCGGACAAGACTGAGCAATTTCACTTCACTAACAGTAGAAGAAACTGACCAAAAAAATAATAATAATTAAGACTAAATTAATTAAGACTTAATTAAGAACAAATGAGACTTGTTCAAGGTTACACAGTTCATATGAAACAGAGACAGAATTTGAATCCAACTCCTTTATCCCGAAATCCAGATCTCATCACTATATATAAAAGTGAATCTTAAGCCCTTAAATCACAAAAGATGAAAAACAAAGAATAAGTTAGAGCTCCTTGCCTCTAAAAATGGAATTTGAGTGGAGTTATGGACATATTATGGGCTTCCCAGGTGGCACTGGTGGTAAAGAATCCGCCTGCCAATGCCAGAGTCATTAAGAGATGAAGGTTGGATCCCTGGGTCAGGAAGACCCCCTGAAGGAGGGCATGGCAACCCACTCCAATATACCTGCCTAGAAAACCCCATGGACAGAGGAGACTGGTGGGCTGTAGTCCAAAGGGTCACACAGAGTCAGACACGAATGAGGCGACTTAGCATGGACACGTGCATGGACGTATTATAATCAACATTATTTTCCTGACTGTCTATCATGTTTAATTCCTGGTCTAGGTGCTTGAACATAAAGTGGGAGGCATGACCCCAGCCCCCCTCCATACTCTGAGGTGCAAGATGCTTATATAAAAAGACCAGTGATAACACACAAAAAAAATATTTTACTACATGCAATATGAGTAGATAGTACTAATCTGGGGAAAAGTAAGCATATACGGAAGGATCTCTCAGGGAAAGTTCCTGGAATAAGAGGAAGAGTTAACAGGCAAGCTGATTAGCAAGAGTGGTTGCAATAGGAAGGGTTCAGTTCAGTTCAGTTCGGTCGCTCAGTCATGTCGGACTCTGCAACCCCATGAGGCACAACACGCCAGGCCTCCCTGTCCATCACCAACTCCCGGTAGTCAGTACAAGTAAAAGATTCTTGTATTTAAAGGTAAGACTGGAGAAATAGGATGAAATAAGATAGCCAAAAGAAGAGTGTAAAGTGTGGAAAAATAAAAAAGGCATGCCACAGAGTTAAGGTGTGGTAAGGCACAAGGAATGCGTTTAACATGTCCAGAGAAACACAAGCACGCAGAGGCATTCTGGGGTAATAAAGACAAATACGAAGAAAGAGAAAAAATTCCAGGGGCCTTGAATGGTTCAAAGATTATTTATAGAATGTTGGCTGTTTGGGGTCAAATGTTGGGTCAAATGCCTTGCATTTCAACACACCTGTGAGCTGGGAGGAACTCTACCAAACTCCTTTACATTTCAAGGGGAAATGACTGTTGTGATGTGGTCCCTCTGATTCAGGTCATTTAGAAAGGTGCAGCTAAGCCATCATTCCTTCCTATTTCCTACCTTCTCTTTGGTGTCAGAGCAATCAGGTTATCCTGTAATAAGGAGTACTATCCTCAAAAAAGCACTGAACTTAAAGAAGACCCAAGCTCAAGTTTCAGCTCTCCTACCTACTAGCTTTTGTCCACTATTTAATCCTTCTGTGCCTCAAAGGTCTTATTTGAAAATAGAAGTGATAATATCTACTTTGCAGAGTTGTAACAAGGATGAAATAAGATTGTGTGAAAGAGCTTCTAAAATGTAGAAACACTATTCAACAGGGTTGTTTGAGAAATATCAGATTTTTATTTGTAGTATCACATATTCAAGAGTATTTTTTAAGCATCCATTAATCCTTCCTTATTAAGCAGCTTATCACGGAATCTACGCCTGCTCTCAGCCACTATTACCTCCCCACCACTCCAAGACCTGGCCATACCTGACTGGGTCAAAGGTGAACACCAGACCCAAGCTAAGCCAATCCTATTTCTTTCCCAGACAACAGAAATAAATCTCCATGAAACTGAGTCAGGTTTGTAACCCTACAGAAGAGAAGCAGATTTTTATTACACTTTCTGTTATTTTACAGGAAATATATCACTTCCATAGCTGTGTCACATATATAGTGCAAACTCAAAACTGACGATCATGAATTTCTACCACTCAGAGCCATGGATCTGCCTGGTTCCTGCACTTCGTGAAGCCTGACAGGTCATCTTTTCCTTGGTTCTGTGATAATCTGAACCTTAAAATATCTTGACTTGAGTAAGCTTGGGTCATATAGAGTTTGAACAGTGTTCCCCCAAGTTTCATGCCCACTCAGAACTTATAGATTAAAAAGAAGTACGAAAACAAGATTATAAAAATGGTGTCTTATATGCCTACATAACATGTTCAATGGATATTAACAAAATGCAGCATAATGATACCATTTATAAGAAATTATAGGATTTATTTAAAATGTTAACGTATTTGAGCACTTAGATATTCTTGTCCAGTAATGGGATACAAATTTAAAGTTATTTGATATTCTGTCTTAGGTCAGGTTCCCAGAAGTAAACTTTGGGATGAAAATTTGAGTGCAAATGATTTACTAAGGAAGGGCTTCCCAGAGAAAGTGGTTAGGGACTGAGGAAGCTGGACAGGGCAGGGGAAGAAGCCAGGCAGGGGTGTGCTTTCGGGAGCAGTGCTTGCCCCAGCCTGACCCCCTAGGGAGCTCTAGTGTGTAATAGGATGGGGTAATTGGCTGAGTTTTTCTGCTCCTGCACCAGGAAAGAGAAGAGGAAGCCCAGAAGCACTTCTGGCTCTGGGTAACCCAAACAGCTCGCCTCGCCTGAGGTTGTCCTTCGAAGGAACTTGTGCAGGCAGTTAGGAGCAAAACACACAGAAATGGCTCAGCAGATCTGAGGGGTTCTGGACAGTCCATGTCTGCCATTCTCTGATCTTATTCATGTGTCTCTGGAGAACATACCAAACATTTACATTTGAGTAGGAAATGGAGGTGGTCTCATGCAGCTCAGCCAAATGACCCCTCCCAGTCCTAGAATGATGGGACCTAGGACTACCAAGATGATCCAACCACTATGTTCTATGGATTCAGTATATTCAGTGAATTGGCCAAGGGTTAAAGTGGCAATCTTCCTACAATCTCTTGCCATATCTTTTACTCCCAAACTACTTTTTTTTTAACTTAAACTTTTTATTTTGAGAAAATCATAGAGTCATATGCAATTGTAAGAAATAATACAGGGAGATCTCCTATAAGCTTTATCCAGCTTCCACCAATGATAATATCTCACAAAACAGCAGTATAATAAGACAGCCAAGATATCTACACTGTTACAGTCAAGATTCAAAACAGTTCCATCACACAAGGATCCCTCATGTTGCCTTTTCCAACTGTGTCTACTTCCCTCTCTCCTACTGACTCC